CTTGTGCACCCTGTAACTGATCAAACAGGTCATCAATACGCGGTAATGGGTATTTATTCTTTACAGTTACCTTATTCAGTCCACGGTAGTCAATGCATAGTCTCAGTGAGCCGTCTTTCTTCTTTACAAACAAAACAGGCGCACCCCATGGTGAGGTACTGGGTCTGATGAACTTTTTGTCTAACAGTTCTTGCAGTTGCACTTTCAGTTCTTTCATTCAGTTGGAGCCATTCGGTAAGGAGCTTTAGAAACTGGCTGTGTTCCGGGAACCACATCAACAGTAAACTCAATCTCTCTGTCAATCAAATCCCCTAGCAAATCGTCTGGAAAAACATCTGGGAATTCTCTGACTATAAGAATACAGTTCACATTAGCATTATCATCAGTAGATACAGTCAGTACAGAACACAGATACCCTTTACATCCCTTCCTAATCAATTTAACAGCTTTCACAGATGAAATTAGATATGGGGGAGGTACTACTCCAACCCCATTAAACACAAATTCAAGCAAACCAGGTGGACGAAAAACTACTTGTTTCGTTACACAGTCTATGGTGGCATGATATTTCGTTAACCAATCTATCCCTAATATCACATCAAAATGATCAATGTTCAATGGCAGTAAATCAATAAATAGATGTGCATCTCCAACAATAATTTCACAAGCAGGATACGTATATGCACAAGTCATAGATCCCCCAACGGGTGATGATACAGCTAACAGATAGTTCATGGGTTCTAAGGGTCTATTCAATTTTCAAGAAAAGGCATGCGATACATAAGAATGCGTAGACCCCGAATCAATCAGTACATAAGCATTCTGAGTACAAATAGAGAGAATACCTGACACAACGGTCTCGGTATTCTGGACGTCTCCCGGTACTAGGGCGAACACTCGGCCCTGCCTCATAGGCTCTTTCCCGATAGCTTTGGGATTCGATTTTGGTGTAACAGTTGATGCCGCTACGCTTGGTGTAGCTTTACTACTAGCTTGTGGAGCAGAGGGGCAGTCTTTAACCATGTGGCCCACCTTGCCACACCTGTAACAGGCTCCTGATATCTTATAACAGACTCCCTTGTGATTTTTACCACATTCAGAACAGGGCGGTATTGTACGGTTTCCTTGACTAGACGTAGTCGTTGACCTCGTATTCTGTTTCTTGTTCAATGAACTATGCTTGCCTTTCTTAAACTTGAAACCCTGCCTTTTTCCACGCCATTCAGACGCTGGTGCTTCAGTCTTTAATGCTTCAATGTTCGATTCAGCCATCAAGGCTCGGTCAAGGACATTCACGTAGTTCGGTAACTTCAGTACATTTATTCTGTCAAGAATTGCAACATTCAGGCCGCCTTCAAATTTTCTGGCTTTCTTATAATCAGTATCCACCATATGCGGTGCATATCTAGCAAGCTCGGTGAACTTCGTTTCATATTCTGCAACGGACATTGTGCCCTGTCTCAGCTATTCAAAGTCAATCACCTTTCTGTCCCTTACACACTGAGGGAAGTACTTTTCAAAGAAGGCTCCTTTGAATTGAGCCCAAGTCAGAACGGTATTTTCATCACGGATGAGCATCCACCACCTTCTAGCTTCTTCTTGCAATGTAAAGGTGGCTAACAGTACTTTGTGTGCTTCAGAGCACGGGAAAACTTCAAACAATTTTTCAGTCTCCAGAACCCAAGCTTCAGCTTTTAACGGTTCAAGGCCTCCCTGAAAGGATGGCGGTTTCATTTTGCTGAACTTCTGGGCGAGAGCAATTATGTCCCCATCATTTACATTCACATTCTATTCCGGTACGACTGGAGGAGGAGGTGGGGGCTGTTGATTCAGTTGTTGGTCCAGTCTTGTAGTTATCAGTTCCATCATTTGTTCCAGTCTGGCCATTCTGGCCTCAGAGGATGAGGTTTCAGTTTCGTTTGCAGTGTTTGCATTATCCATTTCACTATAAGCAGTTATGACAGTTATTAACAGAGGCAGTCATATGTTTAACAGTTTAACACGTTAGCATATATTCAGTCATAACATAACCACACACTTATCATGCTCATGCGATGCCCTAATTACTTTTCTAAGACACCCTATAGCTCATTTGGACACGTGTGTGCGGTATAACTCGTGGTTAAGTATCGCTCTGATACCACTCTGTCACGACCCAAACCCGGCCCTATGGGTTTAGCACCGTAACCGACCAGTAATCCGAGATTACCGAAGGCCTGCAGAACAGTAGAACAGTAAAATAGAGTACAGGGCCTGGCGGAAGCCAAAACAGTAAATAAACAATGTCCAATGAGCTGTGACAGTCTGTATGCAAAAAGACTTTCATACATATATACATAATCAGTACAGAACAGTATGCACAAAATTTACAATCATTCAGACTAGGGACTCAACCCTTCACATCACAGTACAGTAAGCATTCGGTCTATATAAAACAGTAAGACAGTACAGAAGGGGGAATTGTAAAACACCCCTAAGCCTTAACATGATAGGCTCGGAACCTCGCAGTGAGGCACATAGGCTAGCTTGACAAAAAGGGAGTAACTCTGACGCTCCTAGCCGCGGTCTGGTGCCTGAACACCTACATATATATATGAGCAGTGAGCTAAAGCCCAGTGAATAACATAAAGCGTAAAGGGTTTAGAATGAATGTCCTTACAGTAATGAAAACAGTTCATTTCTATTTCAGTCATTCAGTCAGTACAGTCATATGTGGTACATCCATTAGCATACCAGTACAGTAAACAGTAGGTCTTAAAAGACCGAACAGTAGTGATGGCCATCAGTCAGTAAACAGTGGTGGTTCCAACAAGGGAACCGACAGAGATCTCTGCAACAGTAATAGTAAACAGTAGATGCTAAGGATGCCACAATACAGTTCAGAAGTTTCAGAAAAACAGAGTCCCGCTCGAGCGCAGTTTTACCCGCTCGAGCGGACATGCAACAACTTTCCCGCTCGAGCGTCAACTTTCCCGCTCGAGCGTACTGTAAAAGTACTGTGAAAACAAAAAATACAGAAAATGAAAAAATAAAAATTTCTAAAAACTGAAACCAAATAGAGTGTATAATATTTTCCTAAAAACATGACATATGGGCTTATATACGTATTTTTAATAAAAAAAAAATACTCACAGTTGTAATGAAAGATGAAATTGAAACAAATATGTAAATTTAAGATTATAATTGAATCAATTAAAATTATAAGAACAAAAATGATTTTTTGGGTGAATAAGAAAAATAAAAAAGAAAGCTATTTGTCCTGTATAATTAGGATTGTTTTGAGAAGTGCAAAATAATTTGACTTTTTAATTATTAAAAAAAAAGTACAAAACTTAAAAAAAATAATATTAGGAATACTAAAATTTTTATCAAATATTTTACCAAATATCTCAAGTTATATATAAATATAAAATTCACATCTATATAAAATATTTAATAAAACTTTTGACACCTCTAACATTTTTCAAATTAAAGAGTAAGGTAATGTAATTTAAGTTACGACAATGCTATGTAACTCAAATTTTGTGGCTCAAAAGTGACTTAAATGGCCAAATGACGTTGTTTTGAGTACAGAACAACATAAAAATGACCAAAACGACGTCGTTTTGGCCATTTGAGCCACTTTTGAGTCACAAAATTTGAGTTACGAGACATTTTCCATATATTTAATATTGAAATGTATATTTTACCTATATACATTTATTATTTCAGTCTAATCCAGATTTTGGACTGGAGGGGATCCTCTTTTAATTATAAATACATTTTTTGAGATTTATTTAAAAGGAAAAATTATCAAAAAGTCTTATTTACCAATCTATTACTCCATTTGGTCCCACATTCATTCTTTTGGATTGACAAGTCTTGTTTGGCATGTTTTGTGGACAGTCAGGTCTCATTTTGAATTTATGTGATATGTGTGTGGACAGGTTTGTCCCCTTTTTTGTTTTTTCTATAGAGGTGTATATTGGGATTGAATGCAGATTTTGTGAGATACATTTGCTGATTCACGTTTGGTAATTTGGATCTCATGTTTTGAACATGGATGAACACTGTAGTGCTGGTGACCTGCATTCGAAACTTCCACAAAAACAGAGGACCTGTTTCGGGGATTCTAAAAGGGTATGTGGGTTTAAGCACCGCCATATTCACCGATCTCTGCACAACTCTGTCCTCCTCCAACCCTTCAACTTTCCTTCTCATGCTCACAATCGTCCCCTTCCTCATCTTTCTCATCGCCATTCTCTTCCTCTGCGAAATCCCACCTTCCTCCACCGCCGGCCAAGACAAAGAAGAAGCTTGGTACTTTGGAATCATCAACGCCGTCGCCGTCGTCGTCGTCGTCGCCGTCGTAGTCTATCTCTTGCTATTCGATGTCACCGGAGCTCACAATCGTTTAATTTCTCAGTCATTCGCAATCATCCTTCTAATCCTCCTAGCTTCTCCAATTTCAATCCCACTGTACATCGCAACCCATAATTGGATTCGATATAATTCCGAATCAAATTCGGACCTCGAGGGGGTTGTGACTGAACCGTTGCTGGGTATGCTGGAGAAAGAGAAGACGGCGACGGAGGCTGTGGTGGTGGTGGAGAGGAGAGCGCAGGTTATCGGAGAGGATCACACGATAATTGAGGCGTTGAGGACGGTTGATTTCTGGGTATTGTTTGTGCCGTTTCTGTGCGGAGTTATTTCACGTCCCACATCACGCGCCTATAACCCACACCGTCAAAAAAGAGTACTATTACCTTTTTTTGGGAACGTGAATCTCACACACCCCTTCCCATAAATACACGCGCCACATCACGCGCCTGGAACCCACACCGAACGCGAATCTCACACACCCCTTCCCATAAATACACCGTCAAAAAAGGGTACTATTACCTTTTTTTTGAAACGTGAATCTCACACACCCCTTCCCATAAATACACGCGGGTCCACAAACTCAAATTAGCACTTTAATGGCAAAATAGTAAACAAACAATCCAAAGGACTAAACGGTTTAAAAGAAAACAATTAGGACCACATGACCTACAAGATGACAAAATGGGATTTACTGGTCAATTCCCCTATTTAAAATATGAAATACTCATTGTAATTTTGAAAATAAAAAATATTTCACTGTCAATTTTTTTTATTTAACAGATTAATAAAAAAAATAAAATTTCTAACTACTCTTTTATATAATAATAAAATTATCCGTATTGTTAATTAAAATATATTTATAATATTATTAAAAATAATTAATTGACTTGATTTATTAATAAAATAAGTCATTTGTTATGCAATAAAAAAATTTGTCATTCTTTCTTAAAATTATAAGAAACAATTCGTATTTTAAACAAAATTAAAAAAATATATATTTATAATTTATCATTCTTTTTTCTAGTAGTTGCCGATATTTCTCTTTCAAAAAACATAGACTTGGACAAGCTGCCAGTTTTTATAATTGAAACTATTTATATTGTAATGTTCGTCGAGTAGAATATTTATATAATAAAAAATTAAGTTCATTGAACATTTATAATCCCATGATCAAAGCTTAAATAATAACTAGTCTATTATAAAAATTAAATTTACCGTTTATTTTTTAAAAATTAAATATAATATTTTTATGTCGCTAAAAAAGTTTGATTAATCTATTTTTTTATTTTTTTATAAATAATACTCGATAAAACCTAAATATCCTTCTCCCTAAAACAGTCCGTTGCCACCTTCTCCCTCTCTACTCATCCTCATGGATAAATACAGCCAACCACACACACACACACAAACACAAATACAAACAATTTTGAAAGCAAAATCGAGAAGAAACAGCAATGGCGACAATCTCAAGCCCTAGCCCTAACCCTAACCCTGTCCCAAAGTCATCAGCGTACATGCAGGACACGGAGGAAGTGAAGAAGGTGTTCAACGGCTTCGACGGAAAGATCTCGGCGAAATATGTCGTAGACATCATAAAAGCTCTCGAACCCGACACATCCGAGGAGGAAGTGAAGTGGGTAATGGAGGAGTTTGGCACTGGATTCATTAGCCTTGAAGAGTTCGCCAGTTTCTGCAAGGACGACGGCGACTGTTAATGTACACCTAAACCTACTCCACTAAACCTAACCCACTACACCACTCCACCTCCACTTCACCTACTCCACTACACACTCTACTTCACCTACTCCACCACTCCACCTCCACTTCACATCTCCATCTCCTATATAATGTACATACAATACATCAAAACAGATATCAATCAATATATACACAATTTATTCTCTTTCTCTCGAAGCGCTGAAGGAAGTCTTCGAGTTTTTTGATCAGGACAACACCGGACTCATCTCCGCCGGCGCGCTCCACCTTATCTTCCACCGCCTCGGCGATAACTTCTCCATCCAGGACTGTGGTAGAATGTGTAGGACAATCTTCACTGTATTTAAAA